AACAGATGGCAGTGAACTTGCAATTAAAATTGTTCGCTACTGAATCAAAATGAGTAGTATGGTTTTTTTTTAATGACAGTGTTGCCTATTTTCGAAACATTGGATAAGAATAACGAAATTACGGTTTTATATGGACAAATTTGGTCCGAGCATATGGCCGACCATGAAGTTTGCTCAACTACCTGGGGATGACAAATACTTGAGTGAGTCCTCAAGTCCCCGGTTAGTGAAAATACTAAAACAAATTGCAAAAATTTGAGTGGACTATAGCCCGTTACAATAATGCAATTAAAAATTAAGGGAAAAAGTTGTTTAATTTCATCGTTGTATCTGCCTAAAAGCGAAGATAAATTCTTGAATGTGGACAGGAGATATGTTTATTCCTACTATGTGAATGCCTATCAATAGGCTGTTAGGGATGTCTTGAAAGTGGGGTGAGCATGTCGATTTAACAAAGTAATGGGCTAGTGATGCCGCTTTTTTAGTTGAGTTACTGCTTTATCAATAAAATAAGTTAGAGTATCTTTAATGACACGATTTACTTGGTTCAAAGAACAGGAAAGTCGGGCACTATAGAAGGAGTCTTGACGAGTGGATAATAGAGGCAAAAACAGAATGTCTAAAGTGTTGAGATGAACAAGTTTGCATAACCATTTCAGTTACCATTCTCTTCCCGGTACCTTCACAATGACACGCTCACAAATGTGAATATGAAATTTAATGAATGTGCAAAAGCGAGGAAACTGTCGTGAACGTAAACATGAATGCGATAGTACCATTTTAGATTATAAACGAGTACAGATTAAAAGCGGTCTGTATCCACGCATGCATATGACTACGTGCGGGTGTATGTACGAAAATGCATGCCGCACGTTCATGGTGGAAGGGTTAAGCATAGACCAGTTAGATCTCTGCCACTGGCAGACCATAACGCTCGGCCAGAGAAATGCAGGCCTGGTCAGCACTCAGCACGGCTCCATTCCTGGGAGGCAAGGCTGGAGGCTCACTCAACTTGAACTTCAAAAGCCCAACGGCCTCATCGTAGCCTGGCGGAGGGCGCTCTCCAAGAGAGCTGGTGGTGGTAGTAGTCGTTGTGGTGATGGCGGTAACTGTGGCGGCAGGAGTGATGGGAGGTGTGTTGCAAGGGAAACCACCCTGAGCGACGGTAGCGGGGGGGCGCATGGGTTGAACGGGAGCTGGCTCATCTTGTCCCTCCATAGCAGCAGTAAGCGCAGCAATCGCTGCCTCTGCCTCAACCAAAGTGGCCGCCCCAGCAGGTCGTTGAGTGTTCTGATGCAATCCAACGCCAGATCCGATAAAGCCAGAGCCAGCCTGCTCGGGATCATGACCAGTTACAGGGCCTGTGCCACCAGGACGTCCGTTGACAGAGTTCATGCAATCCGAGGATACAATAGACGCTTGGGAGGGGCGTTGTGTTAATGGTTCTTGGCCCCCGGAGACAAATTGAGTGAGCTGCTGCTGTTGTTGTTGTTGCTGTAGTTGCAATTGTTGTTGTTGCTGTTGTTGCAGTGAAGGAAAGATAAATTGACTGTTTTGCGACTGGTTGGGATACGCGATGCCTGCTGGTTGTGAAGGCCCAGTTGTGCTCATAAGGACTGCATTCATGGCATTCATGTTGCCACCAGACTATATGAGCATTAGGGAGATAAATAGATAGAGTTGAAGAAAATAAGGAAATTACCGTAACAATTATGAGTACATTTAGGAACTTCGATAAAAGCTTGAAAACTGATTAGTGACATATTCTTGCAGAGATATCAAGCTAAAGCTTTGGTGCTATCGCTCATAAAAATGTGCATAGTACTTGAATTAAATGGTTTAGAAGGAAATAAAAAATATATTGAAGCTAAATAAATCTTTGAAAATATGTAAAATAAAGTACTGAGATATTTGGTAAAAAACAAAATACAATATAAGAAGGAAAACAAATGAAAGAGGTGCACATTTCTCAAATAAAATCTACTTATATCTAATTTAAAACATACATAAGATTGTTCTGCTATTTTCAGATGCGATTTGAGAGCAAGTCATTACGTAAGTTTGAATGATTACAATGAATAGAAAGTAAAAATAATGTTGGATAGAAGCAGAAACGAATAGCTCACCTCTACTTTCATGTTAAAAAGAGAA